CCCGCTCCGGCCGGAGCCCCGCGCCCACGCGCCCGCCATCCTGGTCCTTTCACGGCCCCCGCGCTGGGGCAAGTCCAGCTCCCTCCCGCAGGGCAGCGCCTCCATCGCACCTTCAAAACCGCTCCTTCAGCCCTGGCCGGTTTGCTCAGCGGTTAGAGCATCAGCCCGCCGACCAGAGAGTCCCGGGTTCGGTTCCTGCTAAGGGCACGTACCTCGGTTGCAGTTTGTCCCCGGTCCCGGTTGGGGTCGTGTGGGTGGCAACTGGTTGATGTCTCTCTCTCTCTCTCTCTCTCACATGGGTGTTTCTCTCTCTCTCTCCCTCCCACTCTACCTAAAGATAAATGCAAACAAACAAACAAAAAACGCTCCTTCAAAACCCTCCCTCGCACCATCAAAACAAAAACAATGTTAACCATTGTCTTTTGGGAGGGGGTGTACTTGATCCAATAGTGGTTCCAGTTTTGTTTTGTCCTGAACGTGCTTGGTGATTTCATATATATGCGTACTTTAACATCCCGGTCAGTCCCAAACCGAAAATTTTTCCTGGAGTGGAGGCTGAAATTTGGAAGTGAAGTAAAGATGACAGGGGAAGTGTTGCTGAAGCCGGTGCGGGAGATCCTCGTGGGGAGCCCTCTCGCCTAGCAGTGCCGGGACCTCGAGGTGGTGCTGACCCCGAGGCCTCTCCCCTCCTCCGGCTCTGGGAGATTCTCCAAGACCGGGCGCCCGCACGGAGAAAGCTCTCCGGGAGCGTGGAGGAGAGCGCCAAAGAAGCGCATGGCGGGGCGGTGGTGACCTCGGAACCAGCCCGCCGCCCTGCGTGCGCTCATTAACTGCTCTATCAGCAAGAAGAAAAGAGACGTGATAATTCAAAATTTCAGGCAAAATGAAATGGTGGTAGTGGTGGTGGCGGGGAACGCAGGCCTCCACAGACTGCCCCTTCGCTGGGCCTCGCGGAATGGGAGGGCTTTAACCACAGCGCACCTGGACAAGCGGAGGGGGGATTCCGTCCACCCCCTCTCACCCCACCAAACTGAATTATTCACAAAGTTTCCCCAAACCGAGTTACTACGAAAGCCCCGCCAAATCCGACTTAAATTTCACTGAGAACAGACAAAACTAAGCTCAAATTTCGTTTGGGGACTGCGGATGGGTTGGAGGAGAAAGGAAGCTGATAAACCCGCCACGGCCGCGGAGTGCCAAGGACTGGGGTTGCGGAGGAACCTCTGTTCCCCTGGGCGGATCCATACAGGTGCAATGTGGGTACGGTAGTCCGCACCCGGTACAGACTCTAGCGCCGGGCTTCAGTCGTTGACGCCAATCCTTTGCTCAGGAGCGTGCACTCCGCCCGGTACCAATCCCAGGCATTGTGCAAGATCCCTGCGCATCTACCACGTGTTTAGGGTATCCAAAGGGACACTGGTGCGAATGCAGTTCCCTGCTTCAAGAGAGAATCCGAACTTGGGGTGATTTCAAGCAAGGCATGCATCCCACCCGCTGCAGGTGCTTATTCTGCGCAATGAATCGTTTCCCTATCAGATGGATTGCATTTGCTGGGCGCAAGAGCCTGCAAACCACCGTACACCATGCACCACGCAGATCTCTCAGGTCCCGTCGCTGCTCCCCAGATGACTCAAGACCACAGCGGCACGGTGTCCCCAACTCAGGACTCCACTGTGGGCTCCCAGGGCCTCACTTGAGTGCTAGGGTTCTCCAAGCACAGAGGACCTGCGGAAGAAAGCTGGGAGAGCCCCTTCTGGCTTTGTGACAAGCTAGAGGCTGAGATATTGGTAGTGACAGGAGAGAGTAAGTTCGTTTTGTTTTTCCTTCCTCCCTTCCTCCGCCTCCTCGGTTTCATTATGTTTTGGGATTTTGGTTTTTGCAATTCTTTCTAAAGCAGATGACAAAAGCTTGGAGGTCTTAAGTACAGCTCCCTCCTTTTATCCCTTCTGGATAAAATGAGTCTCAGAGATGGGAAATGGCTGACCCAATGACCCGTCTATCACAGCCAGCAAGTTGGAGGTTGAGCTGGAATGAGAACCCAGGCCTCAGGCCTCTCAGGCCAGCCCTCCCTCCCCTCTGATCAAACACACCGTCTACAGCTCTTCCCAGCCCCCAGCCCCATCTCTTCCACCTTTCCTGACTCTCCCCTTCCCCAGGTTGGTGAGATGTCTGCCACCTGCCCTGAGAGGACTTCTCCCTCAGGAAGAGGTTTCCCAATGAGGAGGATGCCCCTGGCCTGTATCCTCCAGAGTTTGGAAGACAGAGCCCTGAAAAGGGAGGTGATGATAGAGAGAGGTTTCCTCATTGGTAAACCAGGAATAATCATAGTACCAACTTCACAGGCTTTTTGTGAAGATGTACAAGAATTGGATGTTGTGAGTGTTTCATAAATTCTGAAGGGCTGTAGGGGGTTTCCTATTGCTGTATAGGGGTGAGGATCCTGCATGAGTTCAACAAAGTGGCCTGAGAACTTAAAGAGGCTCTCACTGTGGATCTCCTGGCTTTGGGGATGTTAAGGATGCAAGCCTGCTGGGTCCTTTCTTGCTAGGTCCAGCACAGAGAGGACCCAGGGTACATGGCCTCAGGAAGAAGTGTCCTTCCATCCACACTTTTAGTTCCACCTCAAAATCATCGCCTTCATTAAAAGCTTCCCTGACAGCCAGCCCCACTCCAAAGAGCATTCCCTTCCTGGGGTGTACCCTGAGATGCGGTCCTTGGAACCTACCATAGCTCCAGGCACTGTTGTGTAGCTATCTCTCTCCAGAGGAAGATGATGGTGGCAGAAAAGGTGTGGAAGGATAGATCCTTGTTCTAAGGAGGTAGTGGAACAGCAGAGTTGGGTAAGAGAAGGGGAAAGGTGGTCCTAAGTGGAAATAACATTTCTCAGTTGAGCAAACCTTGCATATACCCTTTTGGATGAAAGGGAGTGGGTTCTCCAGCTACCCGGGGGAAGGGCTCCCACACAGACCTCCTTTTCCTGAAGCTCCAACACTCAGGTGCCAGGTGCCACAGAGGTATTTTCTTGTTGAAAATGCATCTCTATCCATTCTAGCAGGGAGTCCAGATGGAAACTGACTTGTTCTTCCTACCCCTTTCCAGGAACACTTGACTGGGGGCGGGGGAGGGACTCAACCACCCTTGCACACCCCTTTGATCTTTCTGTCTCTGGGAGGAGACCTGAGCCTGGCCGTCGCCCCCTCACCCGTGCTTTCTCTTACTCTTCTAAGCTTCCCTCTTTCTCTGATCCTTGTGTTCCCCCACAAAATTCTAAGACTGCTGTCTTCACTCTGAGCCCTGATAATGAGAGAGTGTGTGTATGTACCAACATGAATACACCTGCTTGAGTTGCATCCTCAAGTGAGAGGTGTGTATATGGGTATGGTGAGGACTGGTGGGTTTGGGGGGGATATCTGTCTCTCCCCTAACGTGCAGGAGCTTAGATGTGTGTAGACAGATATCGCTCATGGGGTGAGTGCACATGCCTAAGTATTTATATGCTTAGATTTTCTGTATTTTCAAGTGTACACACCAACAGTTCAACATGTATAGTCGTGGGTCTGTGTAAGAGACAAGTATAGTGCTTTTATTAAGGGATATTGCTATTCATCTTTGGGTGTGTAGATGTGTATACATCACAGCCTATACTCTGTATTTGCAGATCCATAAAAGAAACTCTGTTCTTAGAGCGATGCTAATGTGAACACGTTAGACACCTGTTTATTGGTATATGCGAGTGTACATGTTGTATTTGGATGGAGCCCTGTGAAGTTGTGTATATGTGGTCATAGATGCTTGGACGTGGACACCTGTCCACCAAGGTCTTGGGCACTAATGTTTAGAGGCAGGTCCTGCACACAGACTGAAAATGCGGCCACTGAGCCAGGCCTGCTGCATTTCCTACGCCCTCCGAGGAGCCATCAAACTGGACTAGCTTCCACTCCCGGATTTTGTCCCAGTTCGTGCCCAGTTTCATCCTCACGAGGCGCCAGGGGAAAGGCGGGGCGTCACATGGGCAGAAACCCAGACTGCGGATCCCTCTTGCGGCCTCAGGGGCCAGCAGGAGCTGCGGTGTCGCAACCAAACCGGGCCACTGCCGGAAGCGGAAGCCAGGATTGGGCGGGTGGGGGAGTGGTGAGGTGCAATCGCGGCGGTTGCGGCTTGCCAGGCCCAGGGCACCCCGCGGGGGCGTGCGCGCCGCGTGCGTGTGGAGCGGGCTGGGCGCCAGGCCGTTCCTCCCCTAACCTGGCGTCTGTTTACCAACAAACTGCCTGCGCTCCGCAGCGACGCGTTCCGACGCGTTGAATAAGCTGCCTGCGCGACGGTCTGGTCTCCACTCCCCTGCAGATCCGTGACGGCGGGATCGGAACCGCGGGTCAGATCTCTAAGGTGGGAGAGCGTGTCGCAGGTTCCCTGAGCCCCTGCCGACGCAGCGCTCCGTTCCCCTTGCCCTTGGAGCATCGCAGCTCCGCCAACACCCTCCGTCTCCGCTGTCGCGACCATGAAATTCCCAGACTGCCCTGCAACCCCGGCACCCCTCTCGGAGAGGACCGTAGGATAGCTGGGCCAAGAGCGTGCGCACCGCCCCCCTCGCATCCCCCAGTTCTGAATTTCTCTACTACAAGCTGCTCCGCGGGGCGGGCCCTGGCTCTAGGCCTCCGCGAGGTCACCGCGTGCAATGGCCAATCCGGGGCGTCTAAGTAGGCGGGGCCCCCGTCGGGTCCCGGGAACCGAACCCAAGAGCGAGAAGAGGGGGCCCCCATGAATTTAGGGGGGAGGGGGAAAGCCATGGGGGCACCCCTCCGGAACCCCTTTCCCAGGCGCGCGCTCTCCGCTGGAAGAAGCACAGAGAGACACTTTCCCCGGGATCTTAAGTGGGGGGGAGTTTAGCTGGGGGGCTCATTCGGCCCCAACGCCCGAGGCTCGGAAAAGAGAGCGTTGGCAGGGAGAGCGGACTACGTGTGGGGTCATGGCCTAGGCCTTTCTACTCTGGCCGGGTCGCAATGTCCTCTTTGCCCTGCCCCCTCACTGGCCGGGACTCCTCCAAAGCCATCTTCCCGGATATCTCCCCCGTCCCATCGGTAGTGGCTGCCTACCCGCTAGGCCTGTGCTCCGCAACCGCAGCCACCTCCGATTTGCCCTACTCTGGGCCATACGGCCACCTCCTGCCCTATCCCTACACCGGGCCGGCGACGCCCGCAGACGCCTACCTGCCCTGCCAGCAACCCGCGGCGCCCTCTCAGCAGGAGCGGGAGGCAGGTAAGTACGGCCGCCGCGGCTCTTCCCACCTCCGGGGTCTTGCTCCTGTGAGCCCCTAAACCTCGTCCTCGCCTGGTTGGGCGCAGCTAGCGGGATTCAGACCTTACTCAGACTCCACGGAATCTGGGGGTGGGGGGAGGGCAAAAGGATGGGGCGGGAGACAGGGGGAAGGGGCGGGGGCGAGTTGATCTAGGTCTCCTTTCAAAACCGACCTGGTTTCGATTTTCAGTTTTGTGAAGCCCGGGCTCCCTACCCCACCCCCTGGAGCTGCAGGGTTGTGTGTACCTACGTGTAACGGAAAACTGAAAGAATCCAGATGTGGGTGTGGGTGCCTAGTCTCTTCCCCAGGATTCTCTCCGTCGTGCACGCCCCTTCCCCATGTCGTCCGTCTCCACTACATTCGTTTTGTCTTAGAAAACAGTGCTCAGGCCAAAGCCTACAAAATAGAGATCAGGTCAGCTGGAGAGCAGAAGTGGGGGCTCATTTTTGCCCCTACCCCGACCTTGCCCAAAGTGCCCGACTGAGACTGGAAGCTGACCTGAGAGAATCTGGGGCTAGGACCCCATCATCCATTGTTCTAAGAATGAAGCCACAGATGGGTCAGGCAGTCTCTCGTTGCAAACCTCAGCCTTTGAGACAAAGGAACAGGCCACTCCTGTCATCTTTGCCCTTTGCCTTTGGGGTAGTTTAGGCCCCAGTTCCCATCATCTGGAGCAACTTTGAGCTCCTGAGAAAGGGCTCACTGGTGGTCATCAAATAAGCCAAGGAGCTAGCCTGTCTTCCTGGTCCTGGTCCTTGCATGATCAGAACCCATGCAACACTACACTTACACCACCTGTACTGGCTCCCAGCTTTAGACCTCAGGTCCCCTGCACTCCCTATCCCCGACAATTGTCTTTGGCAGTTTCCTTCAAGGTTGCACATCCACTGGGTGACTTTGCTAGAGTCAGCCTAAAACCAAGACTATCTTCTGTCACTCTGCTGAGACTCAAGAGCTTATAAACATCAGAGCTAGGAATGACCCTAAAGATTTGGGAGTTCAACCTCTTTGATGCACTGATGAGCACACTGAGGCTCAAAGAAAGGGTGTGCTTGGGCAAAGGACACAGCATGTTTTCCAGGCTCTGGGCCCTTGCAAATTGACTTTCACCACATGAGGCCAGAAAAGAGGATTTTAGGGATCTTCCTAGGAGCCCCCCAAAATTAACTGCCTTCTGTGCCAGAACTGGGGCTGCCTCTCCCAGGCTGCCAAGTCTGTCTGTCACTGAAATAGAAGCAGTTGGGGAGGGTGTCTACAAATGATCTTGTTTCTACAAATAATCCCTTGGACCCTTCCCTTCAGCATATGCTGATATGGTACATTTGCGTGTGTGTAGTGGGGTGGGGTGGGAGTAAGATAACCCTGTCCTTAAGATAACCGTTGAAAATGGAGTTGGTGTTTTAGCCCTGTTTGCCATACTCCCTGCTTTGCCTTTGCTTGGTCTAGGGACACGAGAGTGGAGAGTTCCTTTTTTTTTACGGAATTTTCCCGGGTGCAACGAAAACCACACTTGTCCTTAGTCTAGATTGTAGCATTTTTTTTTACAGAAACTGGTGGGTTTGGCTTACTCTAGATTGAATGATTGGGGTGTGAGAGAGGGCTTGGGGGTCCTCCGTTTGCCCCCACTCCGTGTCCACCCCCGCCTCAGGGGGAGGTTTGGCTCCAAGTGAGCTCCGTGCCACCACCCTGTTGAGCAGGCGGGGCAGCAGCGCCTTCAGGGAGGCCCTCCGGCTTCGCCGTCGCGACCAGGGCAGATCCTGTTGTAACTTGCCACAGCTAGTGTGGAGAAAGGCAGCTGTCAGTGAAAGAACTTGGCGGGGGTCTGCTGGGAGAGTTCAGGAGCCCGGTCTGCCTCCCAGGTTCTCCCTGCGTCACCCTCCGAAATGACCAGTCCGGGCAGCCAGAGCGGCGCGGGTGGTCGCTCGGCTGCCAGCCCCGGGCTTGGAGCAGTAGGGTCGGAGCAGGGAAGGCCGGGCAGGCGCGGGCGGGAGCGGAAACCCAACGGTTTTTCTGGGAATTGACTGAGGCCGGGGTCGAGGGGGGTGGATCTGAGAAGCCCATAGCGCCCCAGGCCACGGGAGAGGGATGCGGGGGAGGTGAAGGCAACTGGTCACCGCAGCCGGCCCAAAGCGGGGAACCTGCCATGTGGGATGAGCCAGACAGGAGGACGAAGGCTGAGGGGGTGGGACAAGGGTAGACCCCAGCCATCTAGGCACTGGGGCCAGGCGCCCCTCGGCTGGGACGGCCGACAGGTCTGCGTGGAATGCGGTAAACGTTGCCCTAAGTGCGAGGACTTTTCAGCCCCTTGGTCCACCCCAGCCCTACCATCTGCATGGAATGGTCTCCTTGTCCCCATAGAGTGGCACAGGTTGGGGCCGCCGGGATCGGAAGTGGAGAGCCCCTCACCCCCGCATTCTAGGGCTGGGTTGTTCCACAGCCGGGATTCTTTGGGAGGCCGAGCCCAGGGGCAGGAGTTGACCAGATCTTCTGTGGCGACACCGCAGCACGACCCAGGAACGGCCGGGAGAGCCTGTGTAGCCGGGAGCTGCACGCTCTCCGGACCTGGGTCACCTTCCCTTCCAGCCGAGAATGTCTCTGTGAGTGCGGTCGGGCGGCTTCTAGGGTCCCCGAGAACCTCCTCCCCTAGCCAGCCGGCCACGTGGGAGGGAAGAGATGGTCACTTTTCCTGTAGAGCGTGCCTTAGGAGACATGCGACCCCTTACAAACTCTGGGGGGCACTTTCCACTCCCTGATCCTGGGAAGGGTGCTCATCCTGGCGTTTAAGGCCAGCTCCGCGGAGCCTCTCCGACCCACCCCTCTTCCCGCAGTGGAGAGGTTGCCAGTGGGGAGGTTGCCACGCAGACGCTGCAGAGTTCCTCTAGCATTGCTTATGAGTCCCCTCCGCCTGGAATGCCCTTCCCGGGTTCTCTCCAGGCCTCGGCCCAGCCCTCCACAGAGCCTTTCTGCCCCACCCCGCCCCGCCCCGCCCCAAGCTGGCGCCACCGCAAGCGGCTGAACTTTGACCTCTCGCCGCGGGCGCCCCCCCACCCACCCACCTCTAGGGTCACAAGGCCCATATGAGTGTGAGCTCCCTGAGGGCAAGAATTAAGACTGGTCCCCCCCAGCACAATGGACGTGAGGTTTGAAAGGAGCGTGGAGCCGAGGGTAGAGAAGGGCCGGACCGGTGCCCGCGCTCTTTGCTAATCCAAGGCCAGCATGCAAACAAGATGCAAATGAGCCTATAAAACTGCGGACCCGACCCTCTCCCGGTCCCACCCTCCAACCTGTGTTGTCCCCCTAGATTCCGAGAAGCCGCCGCAGTCCCCGGATCCCTCGGAGCGGCTCCCGCAGGCCCCGACCAAGAGATTGCGCAAGCCCAGGACCATCTACTCGAGCCTGCAGCTTCAGCACCTAAACCAGCGTTTCCAGCACGCGCAGTACCTGGCGCTGCCCGAGAGAGCCCAGCTGGCTGCACAGCTCGGCCTCACCCAGACCCAGGTGGGGCCAGTCCCATCCTTCCTGCATGCTAACCATTCCTACGTGTGTTCTCTGGGAACTCACCCCCCAGGGTGGGAATGACAGATGAGTTCTTTAGCCCTGTTGTCACAGTTCTCCAGGGTGTGTTCATAGTTGGCCCTCAGTAATTTGGGGGAATGTATTAAAAGGGGTTGTGGGGGTAGGTTTAAGTAGAGGAGGGTACCCAGACTGGGAGAGCTCAGAGGTAGGAAGTCAGGGGCGTCCAGGGCTATGGAGGACTGGAGCAAGTGTTCCCAATTTCTGCTCTTCTCCCAGGACTGCTCCCTCCTGCTGGGTTCCTTTACTTCGGTCACATCCTTCCACACATATACTCCCCCTGATCTTCCATTCTTTTCCCTTTTCTCCCTGAAGGTAAAGATCTGGTTTCAGAACAAACGTTCCAAATACAAGAAGCTCCTGAAGCAGAACTCTGGGGGGCAGGAAGGGGACTTGCTCGGTAGGCCCCCCTCCTTGTCTCCCTGTTCCCCAGCCCTGCCATCCCTCTGGGATCTACCCAAGGCAGGGGCCCTGCCCACTGGGGGCTATGGCAACAGCTTTGGAGCCTGGTATCAGCATCACTCCCCAGATGTTCTGGCTCCACCTCAGATGATGTGAGCCTGGGGAAGGGTGGGTCAGGCCCCCAGCCCTCCTACAAAGCCCGGGACCCAGCCCACCTGCACCCCTTCTGGGCTGGGAGGAAACCAACTCCAGATGGGTTTTCTCAGGATGACAAGGAGCTAGAGGAGAAAAAAGATGGGATGGCGGCCTGCGCCCTTGCCCCATAACCCAAAAAGCCTAATAAAGAACCCCAGCCTTAGCTACTGCTCCCCACCACTACCATGGACTGTACACCTTCCCTTCAGCTAGTCAAAGGCTCTGGAGAGAGTCATTGGCTGGAGTTCAGGCCGCTCCCAGCATCCCTAGTCTTGCCACCCCTGCCTTGAGAGGGTCACAGTCCCACTGCAGCCTGGGGTCAAAACCATCAAGAAACACGGAGTGTTTTTCCTTCCTGGGCCTTGGGCCTTGCCCAGCCCATTTGGCAGCAAGAGCAGGAGTGAGGTGGATATCCAGTCTTCAAGTTGACTGCCATCAGGTCCCACACACCATTTTTTTCTGGAGGGAGGGCAGCTCATCACCCCATAACTGATATACCTATTTGCCCTCCTGTGGGGGAGAAAATGCTGACAGTGTGGAGTTTGAGACCTATGAGTAATTTATGTTCTCCTTAAAAAGCCCTTTTTCCCCCATGTCTACCATTTTAAGTAGATAATGGATTCAAGTATCCTTATAATTCAGTGGGTATTTATTGAGCCTCCCCCCCCCCCCAATAACTCCACATGCATATACTCTTGGGAACACAGTAGGGTAACGCTTTGGGCAGAATGGGAACAAATAGGCTCTCTGGATGAGTGTAAGTAGAGACACCCCAAATAGGTGGGGTGGGCCCAACAATTCAGCTCCTCACAGCTGCCTCTGTCTCAATGAAATAATCACAGTTATAACCAGTCTGATTAGCATCCCCAAGCTCTTGCCATCATCCTTCACACTGTGAGCTTCCAGAGATTAAAGTTTGTACAAAAACCTGGGCCCTGGCTTTGAAGTGTGTTTGTTTCCTGACTTCTGGGGCTGGCTGCTCATCTCCCTTCTCTCCCATCTGACTCTTCCAGCCCTGAACTAGAGGGACTGGAGCCTAGTTTTGCCTCTTCCATTAACTAGCTCTGTGGCTCTAGTTCTGGGGTGTTCTAGTAATGTCTATATATATATTTTTTCTTTTTTGTGGTATGTGCCCCTAGTGGGAACCAAACCTGGGACTCTCTGGTCTGCAGGCTGACACTCAACCGCTGAGCCAAACTGGCCAGGGCATATATTTTCATAATGCTCCAGTGTGGAACCGGAAGATGCTAATGCTGGGAATGACCAAAATCCTCACCAGCAAAGTCTCTCCTTGCCCAGTTCCGGAAGGATCCAGGCACCACACAGCCTCCTGTGCCCCACCTTTAGCCCAGAGAGAGCCCCTGCTCACCTTGGGAGAGGACATGACCACTGAGCCAATCCAGTCCACCCCTGAGAGAAATGTGCTCCTTGAGGGTAGAAGGGCCCCAGGCCACCTAGGGGAAAAGGGAGCATGAGGCAGAGAAGAAAACCCCGGAAGGAATTGGACTTTTTCATCTAACAAACATTTGTAGAGCCTCTGCTCCGTTGGATCCCAATACCAAGGTGATTTAGGCAGACCCTGTGGGCCAATGGATACCAAGGTGACCTAGAGACACTGCAGGCTAACAGGAGAGCCAGACAAATGCCAGCCACTCGTGTGGTGCCAGGCTCACGGACATACAGAGGGCAGTGCGGGCATCGTCAAGGGGCTCCAACTAGGCCTGGACCCGTTAGTAGACTCACGGCCACCCTACCCCACCACACACACAGCACCCATTAGAAGGGGGGCTGAGAACAAGGACAGCCAATACTTCGGGGAATCCAGCCCAGCTTGACTGGAGGGGTCGGGGGAAGGGCCTCAAAGTCCAGGAAGAAAGCTCCCAAATCCAGCTTTCCTCTTACTGCCAAACCTGTTCCCAGGCACTCAGGGCCCACGCTCTCTGGAAAGACCACTCAGGGACTTTTCTCAACCCCACTGCCCAGAGAAAGGCCCAAATTGGTGCTGTGTGTAGAGTAGGGGGTGTGAAATTCAATGAAAGCCCCCCACCTCAGGAGAAGGTCTGCAATCAGTCCCTTCTAGGCCCTGTCCTGGGTCAGTGGCCGCCCCCACTCCCCAAAACACACATGGAGGGTTCTCCTGGGGATGGCAAAATGGCACGGGGCTGGCCAAAGCCAAGGTCTAGTAGCAGTGAAGAAGGAGGGTGCCAAGAGGAGAAACCTCTTCTTCCTCACCACCAGTGCCTCCCCCCAACCCCTGGCTCCCCTCTTTCCATGGACTCTTAGTGGACCTGCCTCAGACCCCTCCCCTGGGTCCTGTCTGAGGCCACAGGCCCTCAGGGCTGCTGCTCCCTCCCACTGCAGGTTGCACACTCCTCCTCTTTCTACAGATCCGCGATAAGATCTACCGCCCCATCTCGGAAAGCCTCCAAAGGCGAGATTAATTGGACAGCCAAACACGAGTCGCATCGTTAAAACAACAGCCCAGGTTGTAAAGTTAAGTAGCAGGAGTGTAATTGCTCTCCCAGCCAGAGGCCAGCTGAGCTGACAGCATCTCCCTCTTCCCTGCCCTCACCCACCTGCCCTTTCCAGGGGGAATGGGAGCCCTTTTCCACTTGGGAGCTGGTTCCCTTTCCCTGAGCTCCTGGGTGATGATGGGACTGGCACCCCAGTGGAGGAGACCCACGCCCTCTCCCTCAAGCCATCTGAGCTGTAGAAGGGGAACCTGGGGTTTCTTCCCACGAGGACACTCCTCTGGGAGAATTAGGTCAATAAGGGAGAAATGACAAGACAGAATTGTTAAGAATGGGGGTTTGCCCTGGCTGGTTTGGCTCAGCGGTTAGAGTGTCAGCCTGCGGTCCAGAGAGACCCGGGTTCGGTTCCCGCTAAGGGCATGTACCTTGGTTGCAGTTTGTCCCCGGCCCTGGTTGGTCGTGCGGGTGGCAGGCATTCAATGTGTCCCTTTCACTTCGCTGTTTCTCTCTCTCCCTTCTACTCTATCTGAACAACAACAACAAAAAAGAATGGGGGCTTTCCCTGGCCGGTAAGCATTGTCCTGTGCACCCAAAAGTTGCTGGTTCAATTCCTGGTCAGGGCACATACCCAGGTTGTGGCTTCAATCCATATGGGAGGCAACTAGTTGATGTTTTTCTCTTTCTCTCTCTAAAAAAAATCATTAAAAACATTTTTTTTAAAATAAGGGCTTTCCCTCCCTTCTTGCTCTCTAAAAAAAAAATCATTAAAAATATGTTTTTCAAAAAAAATGAGGGCTTTGCCCTGGCTGGTGTGCTAAGTGGTTAGAGCATCAGCCCACAAACTGAAGGGTTGCAGGTTCCATTCCTGGCCCAGGTCAGGGCATGTGCCAGAGGCAACCAATTGATGTGTGTGTCTCTCTCTCTTTCCCTCTCTCTTTTCCACTCTCTCTAAAAACCAATGGCAAAATATCCTTGGGTGAGGATTAACAACAAAAAAAGAGGGGCTTCCAAAGAGTTTCAGCCTGTTGGGTGACTTTTGGCAAATAACTTTATCTTTCTCTGAGCCTCGTTTTTGCCCCCTAGGACTAATAGGACCTGCTCCGCAGTGTGGTTGTGATGATGGAATGAGATAGTGCTTGTAACATGCTTAACACTGTGCCTGGAACATAGTAAGCACTTACTAAATGGCATTTATAGCTACTGCATGGTTATCAGGGAGGAGGGCTCATGGTGAGGGTGAATTCACACGGCCACTGCCATCCATTCACCTCTCCCCTCTGGCCCATCTGCCTCCTGAGGATAGGCCGAGGAATGGGCTGGAGAATGGAGAAGTGCAGACATCCCTGGTCATCGCCATTTGAGAGCGGGACGCAGGCAAGGTCTTAGATGCACCGGGCATGGAAAATCAGCTGAGACTGGAAGATGGAAACAGGGCGTCCAGGGCACATTCTCTCCCCTACAAGGGTCTCAGCTGCAGGAAAACTGACTCCGGCTTTCCTTCCCTCTCCCCATATGCTATTTTAAGACGCCCCCCATTCTCTCCCCAAACGAAATGAGATTCAATTAATTCAATTAAAGCAATTTTGGGAGCAGCTCCTGAAGGCTTTCAATGTGAGATAATTACAAGTAATTTGCTCCTGTGAAGAGGAAAAGGGCACCCGGGGTCTGGGGGGAAAGGAGGTAGCCCCCTCCCCGCCAAAAGCACACATATCTAGAGGGATTCCACACTGCAATCTTAACTGCCCTCCCATTGGCCAAATTACTTGCAGGTGGGAAGAGGGAGAATGTGGTGGTGGGAGGGGGCTGGGAAGACACTGAGTGACAGGCTGCCCCTCCCCCACCCCAAATCCTCTGTGCAGGGGGAGCTGGTTGCTCCTGACAAAATGTCTGCGTAGCCCTAGCAGCTGATTACTCAGCTCCAAACCTCATTTGAGCTTGGATGCCTGAACTTGTCTCTGGGATTGTATCCAGAGTCAATGGAATGTTATCCGGGTAGCTGAGGCCTGTGTAGACGGGGCGTTGGAGATCAAGGACTAACCCCACAACCTATAAGGGATGTGGACAGAAAGGGGAAAGGCCAGAGAAGGCGGACACTGACTTCCTGCTATCAGGGAGGTGATGATACACCCACTCTCTCCACCCCTGACCTGGTGCTTTCTAGTTCTGCCTGGTGTCTAATCTCAAGTCTTTCCCTTGTTGTGGTGGCAAATCTCTCAGCTTTCTGTCCTCAGGGCCACCGAAGCCTCTTCTTCAGAGAAGTATCCTGCAGGTGTTGCCCCAAGCCAGGTCACCTGGGATAACCTTTTCCTTGCCAGGGCTCATTTGACCTGGGAGGAGGTGGAGGTGGGGAGCGATGGTGCTAAGGAACTACAGGTAGAGGCCAGGAGCCCTGAGACAGGTGTGGGGATGGGCTTCAGCCTCTGCAGAGACCTTTAAACCTGGCCCTCCAAATGACCGCTTTACACGGGACTAGGGTACCCCTTTACCCGGGAGCCCTGTTCCAGGAGGTGAGTCATGGTTTAACAATGAGGGTAGAAAAGAAAACTCACTGACCACCCCCCCCCAAGTATTTCTGTGTTTATCTTCCCTT